AAAGCTTGTCCTTAGCTTAGGCTTTTTCTCAACTAGCTCTTATAACTTGAATTATGCTATATTTTTAAATCTATGTTCTGTCACATGGCTTTAACCTTTCCTCAGTACGGCAATCCATGAGCCTAGATTCCTCCTCCCTGAGTTCCTCTCTTTCCCTAGAAGTCCTGCCTATTCTCTCCTGCCTAGCTATTGGCCAGTCAGCTCTTTACTAAGCCAATCAGAAGGTGCCTTAGCAAAGACACATCTTCATAGTGTACAAATAATCTTCAAAACACACACACACACACACACACACACACACACACACACAAATTGCTGTGTGTATTGGGGGGGAGTACATATGCTCTTTAACTCTATTTAGCCATTCTCCTTAATACTATAAGTACACTCCATTTTTCAATTAAAAATAAATGAATTTAGGACAATTATAGTGTAGTCTGAAAGTCTTAATGGAAATTAGGATGATTTTAACTTAATAGTAATGTCACAATTTGCTAGATACATCTAAATTAGAGGAAGACTTACAACATAGAAAAATGTGCTGGAAAACTAAAAGGCAGAAATTAAATGTTGAATCTAAGTTTTCAAAAATGTTAGTTCTTCATGATTTTCTTTCTATGCACTTTAAAAAAGCAGACATCGAGAACTATGCACTGTTTCTTCTTATCAGTATTTTGATCTTTATGAATCTTCTCAGTGCACCTTTCTTACAAAATTCGGTTTCTGAAAGAACTCTTTCAAAAACTCAACTTGAGTTGATACTCTCTCTCTTCCGTGTTGCTTTCTTCTTTGGCTTTTCTTGGTTTAATCTAGTTGTCAGCATTCAAAGTGACGCACATGCTTCCTTGCTTCTGTCTCTGAAAAGCATAGAAGTTGAGATCACAGTCCTTTCTCACAGTTCAGCAAGTGGTTGAAAATTTGACAAACAGTTCATGGAAAGCTTGACATTTGGTCACTGATCTCTCAGCATTCTGAAGTCCGTCTTCCTTACTGATTGCAAGCAATGACATTTGAAGGCTTTAAGTTTGGGGTTGACTTACATTCTCTGTAGCAGAAAGTTCCTGAATTCGCTCTGTGTTGTTTCTTCCTTTATAAGCAGTGGGCTTCCTTTTCTCAGCAGAAAGCCTTTCTCTGGACATCTGCACACAGCCCGTGCTCTCCATCACATCAGTACAGATCTTTCTTTCAGCTTTATTCTCTAGTTCCTTTTCATGACTCAGTAACAGGAAGTAGTTTCATACTTCATGGTTAACTTTGAAATGATTAGAAATACTTGGTTGTTTTAATTTTTAGTTGTGTGTAGACATGTGTGTCTGAGTGTGGTTTGTGTGTGGGTACAGTGTTAGAGGGCCAGAGGCTTCTCATTCCCTGGAGCTGGAGTTTCAGGCCATTATGACGCACCTGATATGGGTGCTGGGCAACAAAGTTGGGACCTCTGTAAGAGTAGCACGTGCTCTAAACCCGAGCCATGTCTTCAGGGCCAAAATCTTCGTTTTGAAGACATGGAAATGCAGATGGCTGAGCTGCAACTTTTCTGATTATACAACAACATTATAATTCAGATTCAACTTAATTTTTTTTTTTACCATTTTAAAGTTCAAAGATCACAAGATTAAGAAGTAATGTTTGTTACCCATGAAAATGAGTAATTAGACATATGTTTAGGCCCTATGCCCATGTTTTAATTGGGTTGTTTTCTGGCTCCTGAGTTGTTCAAGCTTCTTATGTATTTTGAGCATGAAGTCACTAACAGACACGTGGCTAGAAAACACATTTTCCCATTCCATAGAGTGTCTCATTACTTAGATCATTGCAGACATGATCTGCTGTGGAATCCTGGACTCTAGAAATAAATACTCTGCCTTAAAGAATAATGTGTACCTTCCCTTGTTGTTATCACCCAGAAATGACGGGGACAGGAGGGTTTTATAGTAGACCAATGGAAGTAGCCAGAATCCTTGCTGTCAAGGGCAGGTCCGTGCATTATACTCAGCATGAAAAGCCCAGCAGTCGTTGATATGGCTCAGAGGAGACCTATAGGAGTTAGCAGCCTCAACAGTAGGCAGTGTGATTCCCAGAGCATCCTTCAAGATCCAAGGTCACTGTAAAGAAGCCCTTGACTCCCAGGCTTAATGAGTTTTTTGCTTTATGAATCCTTGGAATTCCCGGAAGTGAGAAGTTCTTAAAGATCATTGTTATTACAAACTTTCTGAACATGAAAGAAATAACTTTTTGTCATTATTGAGATTATAAAACAGTAGAGGTACATGTATTTGATTTTTGCATAGCTAATTTCAGTTCTAAAAATGAAAGTATTAGAAAATGATTCCCACTAAAAACAAATCCAAAGGAGTATTTTTCCAAATCACAAGAAATAGAAAAATAATAAAAACCAACAAATATTAAAGCCATAGGACCTAGTACAGAACACTTGACACATTAAATATTCAGATATCGGATACTTAAAAGAATAAATTAATATGTGAGATATTTTGCCTAAGGATTAGACAATGATAGAAGAAATACTAAGATAAAAATTTAAAAACCATTGACAAAATTTATAATAGGTCATTTACCTATGTGGAAAGTTTCAATTTGGTATTTATTTATATTTATTCATTCATATTGGTCTATTAAATTGGATTATGATATTTAGAGAAGTCCTCTACAGACTTTATGTACAAGTGAACAGTGAACTTTCAATGCATTGGGAAGAAGAAAGACGACTTTCCCCTCTGTCTCTCTTTTTTTTTATTTTTAAAATATGTGTGTGTGTGTGTGTGTGTGTGTGTGTGTGTGTGTGTGTGTGTGTGTACGTGCACATGAGTGCACTGTTCATGGAGACCAGAAGAGGGCGTTGGATCTCGAGGAGCAGTACTCTAGGCAGTTGTGAGCCTTCTGATGTGCCGGCTGGAAACTGAACTCTGGTCCTCTTCAAGAGCAGCGTTGCTCTTAATCACTGAGTCGTCTCTCCAGCCCCACCTCCATCTGTTTCTAAAGAGCCTATTGCTGCATCCACAAAGCCAGAAAATGAACGTTAGACCAATTCTCAGTCTCTGGCTTTCTCTGTATGTCGATGATCTTCCTTATAGATCTGTTTCAGAGTTTCAAAGACTATTTTCTACAATGAATATGCTTGTGTGTTATCCTTGTCTGTACGAAAATCCTCATTTCCAAAATGGCTTGCCTGACTTTTATCCAACATTTCTACTTAGGTATCTGATACACCTCAAAGCTAACATGCAGACCTGCAGTAGTCATCAAATTTGTACTATTTCTCTCTTCTTCTTTCAAGTGATGCCCAGCCCTTTATTTCTCTTCAGGCTAACCACTTGGGAGTTAATTCTTCTCTCGCTTTGTGATTCACAAGCAAATCTTGTTTTCTGTGTTTATGAAACCTATCTGCATGCAGAATTACTTAGTAGATTATTTCTTACCAACATTATTTCATAGTCTTCTAGCTGGTCTTTTTAAATTTTTATCTTTATTGTTTTGTGTATGGGTGTTTTTTTGTACATGTATGTATGTGTACCACATGTGTGCACTGTCCATGGAGGCTAGAAGAGGACAATAGATGCCCTGGAACTGGAGTTACAGACAGCTTTGAGGGACCCTGAGGGTTTTAGGACCTGAACCAGGGTCCTCTGGAAGAGCAGCCAGTGCAATTAACTGCTGTACCATCTTGCAAGCACACTATCTGGTCTTCCTAAACTTGCTGCTTCATTTTGGTAGCAAAATTATAGTTCTGAAAAAGCAACAAAATAATTTTATGATTGGGGGTCACCACAACATGGGGAACTGTATTAAAGGGTCACAGCATTAGGAAGAATGAGGACCACTGTGTTAGAAACGCCTTTGCCTCCTTGCTGTCCTCTGGGTACATCAGGCACATGACTGCTTGAAGGCATTGCTATGTTGGCTCTTTCTGCTTAAATAGCTTCTATATTCTGAGGGCTGGACACAAATGGGACATCGTAAGAGCATAGTACCTGTCACATAAATTAATGAATTATTTTTGAAACATTTCCTAACTTAATTTGTTTCATTGTAGAAGAGATTTCCACATTGTTCACTGAGAGCAGAAACTGAGGTAATGCCCAACACTCAACGGCAACTGTAAACACGATCTAGATGCAGAGTTAAAGGATCGATATGATGTAAGCTGCAACTGTGGGGCCATCCTAAAGAATAATTATAGAAGCAAGTACTAAGATATTGGATGAAAAACATCTAGGAGAGATGTGTGCATGTGTGTGTGCATGCGCATGTGTGGTGAGCTTTTAGTCAAAACACCCAAAGCATAATCCATGAAAGAAAAAAAGATCTCGTAAGTTGGATCTCACTAAAACTAGAAACATTTCCTCCATGAAACACACTGTTTAGAGGAAGAAGTGATGAGCCAGAGACTGAGAGAAAATACGTATCTATCTTATTAAAAAAACTTGCTTTCAAAATACACAAAGAATTCTTAAAACTCAACAGTAGGAAAGCAAATAACCCAATTTAAAAACTGGGGAAAAGATGAATAGGCATGTAAGAAAAAAAAGCGACTGACATGTCACATATGCACATTATAGGATGCTTACGTCATACATCATGAAAGAAATACCGATCAAAACAACAGATGCACCCAGCCCTTACCCATTAGAGTGGCCTGAATCCTGAAGGCTACAGGACAGTGAAGGATCTGGAGCAGCAGGAATTCCCAGCTCCTGCTGGTGGGAGTTGCAGTGTTCTGGCCACTTTGGAAGATCCTTTATCAACTGCTCACAAAATTAAACATACTCTTACCATTTAGCAGTACATAGGGTTACAGACAATGAAATCTTATGCACAAGTGTTTACACCTTCATTCATAATTTCCCAAACTTAAAAGCAACCTCATTGCTGCAAGTCAATTGATAAATGTGCTATAGTGTATCCATACAATAGACTATTACACATACACATGCACACACACACACACACACACACACACACACACACACACACAGAGTGGGGGGAGGGCGGGGAGGGAGAGAGAGATTAGCATTAATGCTAAGTGGAACAAGTTAGTATGAGATGACAATATTCTCTGATTCACATATACACACTGGGAAAAGACAGAGCTATAGAAAATTAAAAGATCAGCAGCTACCAAGACTTCAGATGAGTGTGTGGAGTCAGAACAAGGGGATTTTAGGAAAGTGAAACACAAGGCAAATTCTGCTAGGGGGCTTCTAGAAAGGGTTTTCTTACCATAGAAAAAGAGCATCATCTTTCCTTCAGGCTCCTTTTCAGAGGCACCACTTCATTGTGACAGCCAGAGTATGAGAGTCTGGAGATTCACCAGGCATCTCTCAAGCATGGGATGAAAAGACTGAGGATACAAAGGCACCACACTGATGCTGGGAATGGTGAGGCCTCATTTGCAATGATCAGCCTGGAAAATGTCCATTTCCCCATTAAATTGATAACAAATGTTGGAAGCTCTGCACACTTAAAAAGCAACGCTAGAACTGGTGAAACTGAAAACTAGAAAGAGTGAAGAAAAACCTTCTTTAGGAAGGATGCTAACTAACATGGGGGGATTTTCAGGTGTTCTGAAACTGTCATTTGTGTCTCCAATGTATCTTGATCATATCCACACCCCACTCCCTCCCTCCAGCTCCCAACATCCTCCCTACATCTCTCCCATCTTCCTCCCAATGCCACGTAGTTTTGTTTCCTTTTATAACACACTAAGTCCAATTAGTGGTACCCATATGCTTATGTGTGGGAGGTTACCCACTGGATCATGGCAGACTACCATTGGCTGCCCTCATCCGCAAAGACAAGCAATTCTTCCTTCCTTAGCAGCTATCTGTCATTAGATCCTCAGCTAGTGATGGCACACCCAGAGACCCTATGCTGGCATTTTCAAGTCTTTTGGTCTTGTGAAGGCTTTATATGAACTACATATTCTATATTGCCATATTAACATATTCCATGTTAACATATTCACACAGCTATGGCTGCATGAATTCATGTGTTTAAAAGCCAAGTCCTTCCCAGAGGCCAGCCTCTCAGCCCTCCACCCTATCCTCTGACTCTCACACTTCCAGGCTCACCATTGGGCTTAGTTTCCCATCAAAGCTAAGTGGTAAACCCCTACTACAGAAGATTCCACACGCTTTGGTTGTAGAACATAGAGAAATCTATCTTGAACTGAGCAGAAAAGTCTCCCTGCTGACTAGCTTTCATAGGGATAGAAAGTGCCATGCTGGCTTCTGGAGAAGAAGACACCAACAGTCTTATCCAGAGCGAGAATGACCTGTCTGCCAGTCAACATGTGCCTGCTGGTACAATACTGATAAGACTGTTCATGGTGGTAGCCACCACACTCTCTCAATCAGATTTGAAGCTGGCTCCATTGGAAGGTATTCATGCTTAATAGTGTATGCATGGTCAAAGTTCATGGCTAATAAAGCCATAGGCTATAGGGCAGAATCTGTTGATGTTGTTTTGTTAAATAGTCACATTATCAATCTCCCTTTTAAATATTTATGTTTGTATACATAGATTCATACTGCTCTCAACTTTGGTCAGAGAAACTTCTTATTGTACAGCGAAGTAGTTAATGCAAAGACTCCTAACTGTTACAAATGTTGAGAATAAAGGACTGTAAATGTTCAGCTATGCATGGAACATGCTCTTTTCCCGACCCAAGATCAGGTAACATCTTCAGAAAGAACAGAAAAAAATTATCACCTTGAAAAACCCAGGATAACAATGGATTCAAGCAAGGCTTACATGATGCTAAAGTCATTAGCTAAAGACATAATCAATGGGATGCGCACGCAGCTTCAGAGTAGGAGCCTGCAAGTCACTTCCTGCTATTATAAAGAAGGAAATAAGCCTTTACCTTGGGGAGCTTTTTAGTCACTACCTCATTCATATAAGAAATTCAAGCCTTAATAACCATCACATAGCTAGGAAATATGGTTGTCAAGGCTTGGAACGTGGAAGTTTCACAGCACAAGGGACAAAGAGGCTCCACAATTATAATGTATTTTTGCCAAAAAGGTTTAAGACAAATACATAAAATGTCCAGTTCTCACTTCCAGGTTACGATAAATGAGGCATCTATTACCTATGTGAGAACAACAGGTGAGTCTGTGGGGGTGAAATATTTTGTAGTATCTGCGATAGATGCTTTGAAAAAAAGCCACTGTTACAGATTTAAAAGAAAGGGTAAGGAGGGCCAAAGAGGTGATTTGGCCAGTAAGGATGCTAATTATCGAAGGACCTGAGCTCAGTCTCTGGGACTCACACCAGGCAGGACAACAACTTACTCCTACTGACTCCCCACCCACACACATTGAAATAATTTAAAAATATTTTTAAAGAGGTTAGAAAGATGGCTCGGTGGTTAAGAGAATTTGCTGCTCTTCCTGAGGATCTGGCTTTGATTCCTAGCACCGGCAAGACTGCTCATAGCCATCTCTAATTCTAGTTCCAGAGAATCTTCTTCTGGCCTCCATGGGGCACTGTACACACAAGTGACGCTCAGACATACACACAGGCAACATTCATAAATACATAAAATAACTTTAAAGTAGACTTAGAAAAGAAATGAATAAAGAATGTTATTGCTGTTGCTTTAAGACTAAAGAAACATAGCATTTGCAGCAAGTGATCAGGTTCTGGGAAAGGTTAAGCAGCTTAAAAAGTCACTTTGTGACTAGTTGGGACAATTTAAATACTGGCCATTAGGTGACACTTTGGAGTCCCTTTTCATTGTTGGTGCCACAGTGATATCAAGGGTCATAAATATTTAAGAGTCAAGAATGTCATAGCATATGTACCATGCTTCCATGCTTCAGAAAAACCACACAAAGAGAACAGACACATATTCTAAACACACATGCACACACACACACACACACACACACACACACACACACACACACTTGCTTTGGACTATGAGTAGAGCAAATTATGTGAGCAATTGGTGAAATAATGGAAGGTACTCAGTTGATCATTTTTCTCCTTAAACAATGCTCGATACAGAAAGACATGAAAGAATTATACAAAGAACAGCCATGTGACTATAGACTAAATCCTTTAATCCACAATGTTTTGCTAAAGTTGTCTTATAGCCCTCCCACCCCTCAATCTGTTATTTTTTTAAATGCAGTTCGAAATTGTAGATGTGAGGACAGCTCAGCCCTAAACACAGCTGCATTCCTCTCCTTCATTAGAGCAGCAATCATTTTTGTTGTATTACTTTTAAACTGACTATACATTAAGAATGTCTTCAAAGCCAAAGAGAAGCTTCAAATAGCTGAATTTGAAATGTTCTGCTCTATGTTGGATATGTTTGTCTATGACTTTTAATACCGTAATGGTGTGTGTGTGTGTGTGTGTGTGTGTGTGTGTGTGTGTGTGTGTGTGTGTTGGGGACAGTCTCTTTATGAAGCTCAGACAGACTAAAACTCTTGGCAATCCTCCCACTTTAGTTTCTAGAGTACTGGGATGACAGGTGTGTGTCACCCTTCCCAGTGCGTGCAGTGCTGTGGGTTGAGCTCAGGGCTGCGAGCATGATGGACAAGCCCTCTGCTCCCACTTAGCCACGCCCCCAGCTCCGGAAGCCAGTCTTCATCTTCATCACTCTATTCCAGCTAGATTCTGGCATGTTGGCAGGGACATTGGATTTGGCCTCAGGGCATGGAGTTGAGGGACACTGGCTGCATGCAAACATTTGAGAGGTCAATGTAGAGCAGACCATGCAGACAAGCAAACAAGTTACCATGGAAAGGAACTGAGCAGAAAATAGAAATCAGGTGTGTCTCAAAATGTCAGCAGAGCAGGTCGGTGGCAGAGGTGCAGCTGGAGCCCGGAGAGCTGACATTGGTGCCAAGTGGTGACAGTGGTCACAGCACTGGCCTTGGGTGAGTAGCCACCTGTGGAGGGGGTTCAAAGATGGTTTAGCCGGGCGGTGGTGGCGCACGCCTTTAATCCCAGCACTCGGGAGGCAGAGCCAGGCGGATCTCTGTGAGTTCGAGGCCAGCCTGGGCTACCAAGTGAGTTCCAGGACAGGCGCAAAGCTACACAGAGAAACCCTGTCTCGAAAAACCAAAAAAAAAAAAAAAAAAAAAAAGATGGTTTAAAAAACTTTTTTTTTTAATTTATTCTTTAGGTCTTTCATATTGTGCATACCAATCCCACTAATTACCCCATACCTTTGTATCTGCCTTCTGCCCTTGAAATTTCCCCCCAAACAAAGTAAAATAAAATTTAAGAGAAAAAAAGAAATAAAGAGGAAAAAAAATCTCATCATGGAAGCTGTAATATGACACAGTGAATTAGGCAGTAAACCCTTTGATCCTTATATCTTTACTTGCAAGTGTTCATTACAAAGAGTCGTCAGTCTGGTTCAAGGCCTCTGGTTTGTGCTACACTATTGATGCTCGGTCTTTACTGGCACTCCTTTTAGATGTCTGTTGTTGTCCTGTGCTGTGGAGATCCTGCAGCTTTGGGTCTGCAGGACTGGCCCCTTCACATGCTCCAGCAGATCATAGATGTGGTGGATGTTGGGGTAGGCCAACTCATAACCCTGGTTCTGAGCCTGGGTAGTTGCAAGGTTGGTCAGCCTGCCAGCTCTCCCCAGTCCTCACTACCAGGGTGAGCCCTCCATCATTGCCCAAGCTAGTTCACCTCTTGCAGCAATGAGCAAGGGGCAGGGCCAGTTCTCCTGCTTTCAGACCCTCAGGGTTGACTCTCCTACACCTACACCACCAGGGTCAGCTCTACTATGATGCCCAGGTGAGGTGCAGGGCCTACTCTCCTGAGTGCTACAGCTGGTGATGGGCAGGGGCAGCTCTCCTGCTCTTATGACCTCAAGTCAGCTCTCCCACCCACCTCACATGTAGAGGTGGAGGGAGGGCATCTCTCCCCAACCCATGCTGCCATATGGCAGATGAGGGGCTGAGCCAGATTTCCCATGCTCATGTTCTCGGGGTAACTCACCCACACCCTAGTCAACAGGGTCAGCTCCGCTGTGCTGCCCAGACAAGGTGCAGGGCCTGCTTTCCCGAGTGTTGCAGCTGGTAAAGGGGAGGGTCAGCTCCCTCACCAGCTGGAGGCAGTAGGGGTAAGGGGGGAGGGCATCTTTCCCTTTCCCCCAGCACCACACCACAGATGAAGGAGGCAGTACCAGTTATACCCCTCTCACACCCTCAGGGCCAGCTCACCAGTACTCCTCTCTATAGGGTCAACTCTACTGTGCTGCCCAGGTGAGGCACAGGGCCTGTTCTCCTGAGCGCTGCAGTTGGTGAGGAGTTGGGTCAGGTCCCCCACCTGCTGCAGGTGGTGAGGGGTGAGGGGAGGAGGGCAACTTGTCCTCACCCACACCACTGCATGTCAGATGAGAGGGGCACAACCTGATCTCCCATTCTCATGCCCTCAGGGCCAGCTCATGTATGCCCCTGTGAACAGGGACAGCTCTATTGTGCTGCCAGGTGAGGTGTAGGACCCTCTCTCCTGAGTGTTTCAGCCAGTGAGGAGTAGGACCACCATTCCCTTGTATTGCAGCCAGTGAGGGACGGGGCCATCTCTGTACAGCCCTGTCCTCTCAGCCTTTGATGGTATCAGGAGCATGGACATCAGCATAGACCACAACTGCATCAGGGTCACGAACCCAGACATCACAATGCCCTGGGTGGCAATGTAGCCACCCACTTTGGCCTGTTCCTCACCCCTTTCACCTCTTCAGATATGCCTCTGTCCACAGGACATGTACCATTCTATCTCTCTTTCTCTCCCATACCACACCATACATTTGCTCGCCATAATAGTGCCAATCTGCCCGGTAGCACAAGGTGGTCCTGTGTTTTCCCTTCAGAGCCCCTGGTGGATCACCCCAGGCCTGCATGTGGATCTTCTTGTCCTCCTCACTCTGTCATGACACTGGGCAGGACCATGCTTCAACCTCAGAGCCTGGGGTGGACTGCTCAGACTCGAAGAGGGTTTAGAGGTTTGTCTTCGCAGATGTTTTCTTCTGTCTTCACTGATTCCTCTCCCCAACCTGGAATTTGAAGACAGACGTTTAATTGTGCAGTCCCTATACCTTGGGAGACCTTGCTCATCCCTTCTTCTCAGTCTCCTTATGAAAACCTGGATTCGGCCCGCTTTCCTAAGGGATCTGGTTTTGCACATACCACTCTTGAGTTGAAAACCTTCGATCCGTCTCACTCCCTCAGCCTGGCACTTAATAAACTCCAGTGTGAAACTGCCCTTGGCAACTTTCAAGTCAGGTCTAAGGGGGTAGAGTGGGGGTGGGCCTGAGCTTCTCTTCCTCTGGCAGAGGATCCGGGATGGAGGCTGCTTCAGCTCTGGTTCCTTATGGCCCCAGGTCTGTGCATGGAGGTTTTGCAAACAAGACAATGCACAACACCTCTGCCCCATCCCATGGGCTCAGACTTACTCCAACTGTTATCCAAAAGAGAAACTTGTGAAAATGCACCACAGCTGCGTGCTCCCGGAAAAAGACAGACATGGGTCAATCTTGGACAAAGAGTTTGTTGTGGTTCAGGGTGTCCTGTAACTTCTAGTCTTCATGCCTGTGCTTTCCAATCCCTGGGACAATGGCATGGCAGGCCTGCACCACAATGGTGCAGCAGAGGACCTTTGGCACCTCAGTCCTAATTCCCTTGAGTGTACTCTTGTATTTGACAGGGAAACCTGGGTTTCCAGCTTCAGCATCTGCCAATTATCTCTGCCTCCCCCTGAATGCTGTTAGTATCTGCCTCTGTCTTTGTACCTAACTTGTGACATCTTTCCTGCTAGACTGTCAGCTCCCAGAAACCAACTACTATGTCTTAATCTTCCTATTATGCCCATGATGGCAGGAGTTGAAAAATATATGCTTACTAAATGGCTTAATAATTCATCGATCTCCAATACAAAAGGGAGGAGAATGAAATCATTCCATAAGCTGGATTCTGAGGCTGCATCAAAAGAGATTCTGAGAGAGCTAGTCAGTCACATAATCAGCAAACTGAATTAGATCTAAAATTCCGATTGTTAATTATTTTGAAATGATATTTAAAATGCTGATACATAGATAAGCATTGTCTTTTAAAAATTAGACTATTGGAGTATAATTGACATACAAATGGGGTTTTTAGGTGTCTGTGGAGCTAATAGAGTCAGTAAAGTGCTTGCCATGTGAGTCTGAGGACCTGAGTTCAACCCCCAGCACTCATATAAAAAAGAAACAGGCATGGTGGAGCCCACTTGCTTTAGAGGAAGAGACACGCAGATCTTTGGTGCTTGCTGGTCACCCAACTTGGCCTAATAGGCAAGCCCCAGATTCCAGTGGGAGATTCAATACCAAAGACAAGCTGGAGGTTTTTGAGGAACAACAACTGAGGTTGTCCTCTGATCTCCACATTAACCTGTATCAGCACCCAAGAACACACACACACACACACACACACACACACACACACACACACACACACCACATACAGCAACCAAATGCATTATATACCATGCATACAAATGCAATATATATACCACACACAACATAATGAGTTTGAAGATAAGTTTAGATCCATCTAAGTAAAGTTGAATAACTCTTGGTTAATGCAGATGCATTGAAATCCATCAAACTAGAGTTCAGTGTTTGGTAAGCGCAAACATTGTCACAAATGGCAAAATAAAAATTTAAAACACCTTCTCCATTCCAAGAGTTCTCTATTGCTCCTTCTGGTTGACTCCACCCACTACTTCCAAGCCTTAGAAGCCACTGACCTGCTTTTTGCTCTGTGGTTTTGCAATTTCCAACGAGTCACATAAATAGAATAATAACATAGCTTGTGGCTTTTAAACGTCTAATTTCCCTTCAGTTAATACAATGCCTTTCTCAAAAGTTTTCTTCTAGATCTTTCTTTAGTTTATCAGTAGTGTGTTCTACCTGCTCTCTAGTCAACATCACCTCTTCTTTCACAATTAGATCTGGGACTATTATCAGCTTTATAATTCCAGCATGAAAATTGATTTACTGTGATTGATTTCAAGTATAAATGTCAATGAAATGCCATTATGCCTCTTGGTAGAATCCTTACTCATTAGGGCAGTGCATTTTCCAAATGTATGATTAATGGTTCTATGGTTTGTAGACGGTTTCTGGAATCACCATCACCAAACTCTCTATAATTGCACATTTACAGTCATTTTTAAGGTGATTTTTTGATGTTATTGTATATTAGACACACAGGAGACTCTAAGTGTTAAGTTCTGTACTTTCAATTTGAGGGGAAGTAAAGAGGGAAGGGAGGAGAGGAGACCACATTTCTACTTAGCCTGTGGTATGTCTTGCTCCAGCTATGAATCCTTTTCAAGTCCTGCTGAGCTAAAGTGAGCCCTCCCACACTGGATGTTAAAACTTGAAAGTGATGAGGTAGAGCTAAGGAAGTAATTGGTGGCAATGCCTAGAATGACCAGGAAAATATTTTAGAAATTCATTGTTCACAGTATTTTTAGAAGAAACCACACAAAAAATAAAGTATAAATTGCTTAAAGCTGTTTGAGGATAATCTAAGTATTAGAAACAAACAGCAATACTAACATAGGGCCAATGCAAGGAACATCATCTAAACAAAATCTGCCTTCCTAATGTGAGACTGCTTAGCTGTCATCTGTGTCCCGTGATACATATCTACCCACACTTTCTACATATGTATGTTTTCTGAGTAGATATTTCTGAGTTATAAAGACTATGTCTTATGATGTATTATTTCTTTTTCACCTTTTAAAAGAACCAACTATATAAGGAGTAAAGTAAAAAAGAAGAAGAAAGATGTCTTAGGTATTATTTATAGAAAATAAAAAGGAGGTGACAATGTCTCTCCACGTGAGAGGGAAAATGACCTTTCATGGTGTGTCCCACTGCGTTCCCAGTGTGGCGAGAATAAGGAGTCTTGGTAGTGGTATCATGCTGCTCACCGAGAGCTGTCAATCATATGCGTTTTAAAGACATGGAGTTTAGGTCGTCAACACAATTCTTAGGGGTGAACTCAGTGCTCACCAGGAGAAAAGAGCTAAACAAACGTCCAAATAAACTGAGATCCAAAGCACCCACTGCCTGGAGAACCTATCCCATGGAATCCTCAGTTCACACACTTACAGGTCACACATGTAATCCGTGGCATGTGGGTGGCAATCCTAACATCTATTGTGTGCTTTTCAAGTGGAGGACCACTTGGTGATTCATGACCTAAGCTTTCTTTCTCCCTGCAATCTACATAGAGCAAATTATTTGTCAATGAGAAGTCCTCATACAAATAACTGTCTAATCCTGAAACTGCTGATAGTCTTGCAGGCTATTTCAATACTGGCAGCCAGGACTGTACACGTGGAACTACATTAGCGCTGTCCCTGGGGGACACTGTTGAGCTTCATTGGGCAGGGCAGGGCAGGATCCCATTTGACTCCTCATTAGGGTTCTCACAGGGATTCCGGCTACTGTCTCTGGCTGTTATTACTTCTCTGTGTGTGGGAAAGATAGATGGAACCCACAGAGGCAACAGCAGAGTTTTACATGTTTAGAAAAAGACTGTTTCTTCTGATTCTTCAGACTTAACATCAGTCTTTCAGATCATTAACTACTAATTGTTGTTATTATCATTTTCAAAGTACATAGCTTCATTTTATTCTGTGAGCTTTTTCATTTTAAATTCAATGCATAAGGGAATCCATTTTGTTCCATGTTTGTCTTTCTTCAGGCAGAGTAACACTGAGAGAATGTAATGCTCTGAGATCTCTTTAGGAAGCAACATGGTTGTGATAAGGAAACCTCACAGATATTTTCAGGCATTTGGTGACCAAAATGACTGGAAACACTAATGCTACCTGTGGCCATTCTTGTTGGAGTCTTGAAAATATTTAGATTTAACATATTTTAGAAATACTGCATTGGAAAACCAGTCAGTGGTCTGAGGAAACGTACTGTTGATGATGCCACATACACATTCTTCATGGGAGTCTTTGGGCAAAAATTTGCAGTCCTGTTACTGGTTTAAATATAATAACAAATGAAACTATTTTCCCCCTGTGATAACTATGTAAAATGCTGTTCTCTAGAAGGAACTCTTCTGTAATTACCAAATCAAACCTTCAGTCTTCAGCCCATCTAGTCACAATGCTGCTAATGGAATATTAATAATGCTAATTACTAATGCTTTCCTGGGCAGTGATGCACTAACCACTTAATATTGCTGCTCCCTAAAGTGGTCCATGCACACATCTGTATGAGAGCAAAAAGGCCTGAGCAATTTGTGATTTAATTGAGTAAAGAGAAAGTAAAATGACACAGCTGGATAGGATTATTTAAAATGATGCATCATCATGAAAGTTCCTTTTGCATTTACAAGACTAACATTTGAGCAAAACTCTTCCTGATGCTTAAAACAGATCAGACAAACCTATATTTATATAATATATTTATTTGTACACACAAACATGTATATGCGTAATTAACCTCACATATGTGCTTAATTCACATGTAGACTCTAAAATGAAACTCTATTAAAAGTGTAATTGTTGGCATCATGTGAGTACCACTTAGATCCCAGCATAAGCATCTCTGTCTGGAGATTAGATCACTTTGGAGCCTCTTTGATGTAGGTAGAGATAGAAAGCCACTTTCAAAGGCTTCAAAAAAAAAAAAAAAAAAACAACATATTAAACCAAAGGCTCGGAAAGTCCAGCCCTAAGGAACCATTTCTTAGAAAGCCCTTGAGTTTGGCCCAGAAGTGGGAAGCAGCGGAAACCTTTCTCAAGAGGAAGGGCGAGAGAGTCAGGCCAACACAGGGCAGGCGTGAGGACACTGAATGGAAACATGTCAGGGAGAGTGGGCTTGTACCAAGAAAGCTTCAGTGCCAGCAAGGGGAACGTTCAGTCACAAGCCCAGACCACCATTCTGTCCTCTGCAAAGGATCGTTAGTGCCTCGGTTTATGCCTACAAAATTCTCGACCTGAACCTTGAGTTTCCAGCCTTACATCTGCAGGAAAAGGTGAGCTTAGACAACTCCGGTCTTACGGCAGGCCACCATTCCTCAGTTGTGCACCAGAGGATGGGTTCTTGTCTTCCTGACACCTGGAACCGCACTTCGAAGGATAAAAAGGAAGTTCCATTACTTCAGGACACGGCCAGGACCTTTACGTGAAGAAATGACTTCATATCTGAACAGTGCACCCCACGGTTTATTCTGATAGCGTTATCTTTTAAAAACTCCGAAGTCAGAAAGTCAGACAGGAGCACACTGCATGGAACTCACTGCTTGTGATTCTAAAGTCTTGGGTTAGCTTTCCATGGATAATTCGGAATATTTAGTGTGTTCATACATAGAGAGTATATATTACATTCATATTCCAAATATGTGTAAAATACAGTGAGCTAAGTGTGCGTAATAGGACAAGCGTGGGAAACTCCTTATCATTGTACTATGTCTTCCTAGGTGAATGTAGGGTGCAATGGCGGAACAGAACTGAGGTTGGGGGCATATGAGTTGAAACTCACCCCCCCCCCCTTAAAAACACTTAAATGTCACTTGTCACTAGTGACTTCAAGTACAAGGGCAAAGGAAGGGAGGTTGAGAAGGACCTAGGATAAGAGGCATCAGAGGGGAAACCCCACAGACACCTCCCTAGAGGAGACTGGGGAGGTTGAGGCGGAGCCTGGCCTGGGGGCTGCCTAGCAATGGGAAGCAGGCAGGCCCTGGTGGGAGGACCCGAGAGCTGCACTTCAGGAGTTCCTGGCTCTGAGAGAGAACACCCCTGTTGCTAGGGGGCCGCTGAGAGCTGCCTGCCTGCGCAGCCCGGCCGCTCCCTCCTCACGCCGACCCCTGCCTCGCATGGCAACCGCTGTAGCTGTGGCGCAGAGCCTCGCCCACTGCCATCCCCACCCTCTCCATCCTTAGCCATTAAGCAACGCCGGCTCCTGGCACGTTCTCGCCGGACTCGGACTCAGAAGAGGAGAGCGATCCATCCGGAAGCGCAGGGGGACCCGCCAGGCGACATGCGGCCGCCGGGAGCGTCCCGGGCGCCTGGGGTCTGAGGCTGTCAGCCAGGACTGGTCATTGTGAGCGCCACGGGGACCCGCTGGCGCTGCCGTCCCTCCCGGGTCCCTGGACGCGCCACGATGGGGCACCTGCCCAGAGAAACGCGCGGGGGCCGCCGCCTGCTGCCTCTGCTCGGGCTCTTTGTGCTGATCAAGGTAGGGGACCCCCCCCCAGTCCTCGGGGATGGGGATCCATCCCGCCGTGGGGAGCTATGCGCTCGGGGCGCGGTGGCCAGGCGGGGATCGCCAGCCGTGCACGCTTTGTCCTCAGCGCGGTGCTGGGTGGGCTGCGGGTATGCGGGTGGAAAGATGTGGAAGTTTGAACCTTCCAGTTGTCGCCCTTTGTACTCTGACACCTCAGCGATGGGCTAGCCGGACAGGGCTTTCTCCGACAAAATGAGGTCACTTTCTTTACCGGTCCCCACTGCACCCCAATTCCACTTCACCCTCTCGCTCTCCCCCAGTGGAGCCTCCGCGCGGCTGCTTTGTCTCAGTCGACTCACCTTCTGCGGGAATCATACGCAGGGCGCTGAGCTCCGGACCAGACGCACCAGCTAGGCAGAGCTAGGGCCAGGGTTCCATTGAGGAAGGAATCAGCTCAACTCGAGGCCACGTCTCTCCCTGTCTTAACCTCCATCCACCTGAGGATGCCTGGAGAAAACTCTCCACACTTCCTCCACTTCATCCTCACGTTGCAGGATGCTGCCTCTGATTTTAATGGTGGAAAATGCAGTTTATAAAATTCACTTTTCCTGTCCTCTTTGGAACGTGTGGCTCAAAATTGCACTTTGAGAAAAAAAAAGTGAAAAGGAAAATACTGTTTAAAAACAAAAACTTGACACCTAAAGCATGTAATTAAAAAAAAACAACTAGTTGTTTTCTTGGCACGTGAGGGGAAGTTAGGAAGGGGTACCCCCTCGCTCCTGCTTTCGAGGGTCTACTGTTGCCCTGAGTTATTTAGTCCCCTTTCCCTTCTTGGTCCAGAGACTCAAGGATGTCCGCAGGTGATCCGGAGCTATCCTTTCAGCACTACGCGGATACCTAGCTAGGAGAGGTCGCCACATTAATGCCTGCAAATGTTCCCGCATTAAGGATTCACTTCTTGGTTATATGCCCATTAATTATGAATGCTCCCCAAGGTTACAGTGAACAGGACCCATGAATCCCTGGCAGCATCAGTTTAAAATACTCTCTATTTTCCTCTTGTCTTCCCGGAACGCAGGGAAAGAAAGAAAAGAAAAGGGGAAATACCGAGAGAGTACACGAGTGAAGTTTTGAGTTGTATTTGATACACAATTTTTAAGTTGTCAGTCGTTATTTTATTTTAAAATTTGGTAAATAATAAATGCAGCTTCATGATTTCCCTGTAGGAGGCTTTTCCTTAGTATACTCCACAGATATATTATGCTTACTGGGTTTTTTAATGATTAACTTTTTTTTTTAACCATTTGCTAGACTCTGCAACAACTAAGATGTCTAGGCAGCACTCTTCAGGCAGCTTAAGATGAAAAACTGAGGCACATGTTTTCCTGAGAGCAGCAAAGAGATTGTGTGTGTGTGTGTGTGTGTGTGTGTGTGTGTGTGAGAGAGAGAGAGAGAGAGAGAGAGAGAGAGAGAGAGAGAGAGAGAGAGAGAGAGAGAGAGAGAGAGAGAGAGAGATCTGAGTTACATTTAACCTTTGGAACAACTTCAGGTCTTTGCTTCATAGTGCATGGCAACTCTAGAAATGAGACTATTTAGTTTGGGAGAAGAGATGGAAAAGACATGATAATGGAATAAGAAAAATTCAGTCAGAGATAGCATGGTGGTATCTTAGTGACTCTAATAGACTTGCACTCTCTTTTACATATTATGTGTATATCTCAACATTTGCCAGCAAATGTTTATTATGATAAGCTGCACATCATAGCACATACACTGACAAATCTTAAATAAGTATTACACTAATGAGAAAATAATCTGTTATTAATTTCATGTAAGGGTAGCATTTGCTTCATTTTAGTATAAAGTATAGCAGAAAAAGGAAACTCTATAAACTGAATGCCACTCAGTCTCAATCTTCCAAGCATTTTCGCACATGCTCTTCGATTGAATCACATTTCCAGACAGTTAAGATGAGATTTTAGAAGTGCTAAATTAGGCATTTAGTATAATATTATGAATTTTGTAGTTGGTGTATTACGTGGTGCATCAGGCGTACAGTATAAGCACTTTATAATTTTGAGGTTTTTAACTCAAAGTACATAACAAGAACCAATAAAATAGATACAGCCATGTACATGGTGGCATGAACATTAAAACAATCCATTATTAAATGTCAAATCGTCTACCAGATCTCAGTGATACAACCTAAAATGGTCCATGGGTATGACACAAACTATTCTCCCATCTCCTGTAAAAATCTCCATAGATTTAATTATGACTAAAATTTATTAATGTTCATATTTATATCCTCTATGTGAGCAAATATTTCAAAGAGCATAAGTCAAATATATTCAACTCTGAAGCTTGATCTGCAATTTTATGTTTCTTGTCTCTTCTTTCTTTCTTTCTCTTTTGGTTTATCAAGACAGGGTTTCTCTGTGTAACAGCTCTGGCTAGTCTAAAATTCACTTTGCAAACCAGGATAGCCTCGATCTTACAGATATCCACCTGCCCCTGTCTCCTGAGTGCTGGGGTTCAAGGTATGTGCCACCACCTCTTGGCTCATATTTTCTAAAATTCAGGTGAATATAAGCTGTGGGAAGATTGAGGCATGTATGATATGCTGGCTTATAACCATTTTCACTGGGGGAACCTGGAAGGGGTTGAGCATGCAAGGCATTGTGCATCATTGCTCGGCCATGCTTTAGCTATGAATCCATTTAACAAGGTGCCTCTGATTGTCTGAGCCAGACACTGCACCTCATGAGATGACATCTGCATAAGTGATGTGGTGTACACCTGGTGCTGGTCATGGAACACTTAAAATTATGTATTGATGTTGATGGTAAGCATGTCTGTACAGCTAGAAACAAAAATTAAAGCTCTACTATCAATCAGGAGCCTTCCAGTCTTGTCTTCTGTGTGTGGATCAAATGGATTGCTTATTTAGTGTCTCCCTCTTGTGTGTCTTCCTATAATTCCTACTGAAAACAACCCAACATCACATTTTTACTGCCTTTACTGAAAATGGCTTCTTATGTCATGAACCCAGTCAATATCAGTGCTTTGTCAACTAAGACACAAACTGCAGACTATGACCTCATCAGAATCTGATGTCTGTCTTCCCTGAAGTGTGACTTTTTATGATCAACTGGAAGTTCCCTGCCCCTTCATTAGTAGATTCAGCATGAGTCCTTTCTTTCTTTCTTTCTTTCTTTCTTTCTTATCTTGCCTACATTTCTTTATGTTCTTACATGAGATGTTATCAAAGATAATTAACTTTGAAAGGGGTTTCAATACTGTACTTTTTTAAAGGTCTGTGTTTAATTTTATGAATGTTATGATAATGGTCATCATACTCTTATCCAAGATAAATACCTACAATCCATGGTCTTTCTGCCTTTCTCCACTTCCATGAGATCTTTGTCTCCCTATGTCTCTCTGTCTCTGTCTCTCTCTCACACACACATGCACACCCAATTTGTCTCATTTTCCTGTGAAAATTTTATCTTGAGTTTTCTGGGGATGGTTCACTGCCTCTGCTTTTGCAGGTAATGAGTGTTGAGCCTTCCCATTGTGAGCATATTCCTGTTTTAGATCATTATGATGTAAAAGACTACCATTGTGTGCCAGAGAAAATCCACACTGTCTCTCTTCCTTAACTGTAGATTAACTGCAGAGTATTTGTACATATTTTGTATGTGTGCAGTATGCTCAAGTGTGTTCATGTACAGGGGGCAGAGGTTGAGATCAGGTATCTTCCTCAGTCCCTCTCTGTCTTCTTCATTTTTTGAGACAGAATCTCTCACCAAAACTTGAACTCACTGTTTAAGCTAGACTGGCTGGCCAGAGAGTGGGGTTATAGACACGTTTTTTCCACTTTTGGCCTTTTACATAGGCAGTGGAGGTCTAAACTCAGGTCCTCATGCTCCCACAGCAAGCACTGTACTCTTGTAACCAACTTGAATCTTGAGGGTTTTGAAAAGGATCTTTGGGTTGGTACCATTGCTGTGGTCCGTGGCAGTGGAACTTAACAACAATGACTGCAGAGACCGATTTCTTCTCTCCCTTAGTTCAATGAGTCCAGATCCATGGTCCATCGATGTCTCACTTCCATATGCATATTCCAGTGCAAGATGAACCTTACCACACAATATTTAATGGTCCTCATCTAATGAATCCAAATACACTATAAATACTTTTGAGATAAAAGTTTTATCTCATAACTTTTGTCTTTCCCTGTGTGTTAGCATCTGGCATTAGAAGTGTTATAACAACTTAATAAACAGGATAAAATTTATCTTCACTACATAAATAGCTTCTAAGCATTCTGAGATATTATAATAATTGACTTGCGAATATGTCTATAAAAGGAAAGCCTGAAGAACTATCATTATAACAGTTAAACAGTCATAATTATACTGCAATCACTACACTATAAATAGTAAACCTTTATCAATCATATACTAATATATTATTAAAATCACAAATTGAAATACAAACCTGTTATTTTTCTCAAAAATATGATATCCTCAGCTATGCATTTATTCATCAGTGCTTCTTAAACTGTTACTTGATTTTATCAGTTAAAAAGCAGTAACCGGGCGGGGGGGGGGGGGGGGGGCTGGAGAAATGACTGGATGATCAACAGCACTTACTGCTCTTGCAGAAGACCCAGGTTCAGTTCCCAGCACCCAAATGGTAGCTCCGACTGCCTGTAACTCTTGTTTTAGAGGCTGTGACACTCTATTCTGGTCTGCACAGGTACTACACAAATATGGCACAGGTACACACACATAGGCAGAGCACTCATTCACATAAAATAAAAGTAAATAAATTTTTTAAAAATTAGTTAAAAGATTGAAAGCAGCAATGACAACCAGGCATGCCTGTAATCCCAGCACTTGGAAGGTACAATCAAGAGTTCAAGGTCACAGTTGATTATAGCACAAGTTCAAGGCTAGCCAGGGATGCATAGAAAACTGTAGCCATTGAAGCTGGGAATGGTGCTGCATATCTGTCAACCTGGCACTCACCAGGCTGAAGCAGGGGGATTTACAGATCATGACTAGCTATGCTTACAGTAACATGGAACCCTCTCTCAAAGAAGCAAGTCATGATCGACACATTAATGGTAGATGGTTCTCATAAAACTTAAAACTTACTTATATCTGCAAACCAGCAGTCAATACAGGCACACCCAAAGTGGTTTTGGCTTCCATTCCACATCGCTATTCCCCCTGGATCATTATCATCCCTACTGGGTCAATATTACACTATTCCTAGTGGTAGGAGGCTCTCTAACATTTTTGTGAGAATATTGCCTCTAACAGGCCCCTCTCAGCAGGCTCTCTTGGTAATTCCTGTGGTGGTATTTAACCCTGGGTCATAACCAGTCGCTTATACAGCTCCTGTATAGGGACCTGTAGGTCTTAGCTCCTTCTGCTTTAGTAAGTGTGTGAGAGCTTTGTTGTGCATTAACACCAATTGACCTGAGAAGCCAAAGCAAGGAGACTGTGGAGTGCTGTGGTTTAAATGTAAAACATCCCCCACTGGATCATGCTTTCAAACCCTTGGCTGCCAGCTGCTGGTGCTGATTTGAAAGGCTGAGGAACCTTTAGGAGGTGGAGCCTCGCTGGAGGAAGAGGGTTCCTGGAAGATTCTTTGCCCCTTTTCCTGCTGCTTCTCTGCCTCCTGGCTGTGGTGTGAGTGACTGCTTTGTGATACTGCCTTTGCTGCCATGATGGGACTGTGTCCCTTTGTAAACTGTCATCCAAAATACAGTCTTCCTTGTCTAAGCTGCTTCTTGTTGAGCCTTTGATCACAAAAATGAGACAAGCAACTGCACCCTGTCGTAAGTAGAGGAAATAAGAGTGTGTACAGGTTCAATGACATTGCAATCCAAACAAAGACTCTCCTCTTTTCTCTGGCACTATTGATTCTGGAAGGTTTCATATGGTTTCTGTGAGCTGTTGAGGAGAAGATGTGAAAA